ATAACTATGTGGGCTTTTTAATGAATAATATTTAAATAATAATAATATGATAAATAGTTTAAAGAAAAATTATTTTGTAAAAAGGGTTATTTTGAGATGTTTTTAAAAGAAAGAATATTTTAAATATTTTTGGAGTTATTAATTATGAGAAATAAATTAAGAGAAATTATTTTGGAAAAGGAAATATTTCTGAATTATGTAGACGTTGTTTATGATTTATAATTCTTAATTTTGATTGTCTGATATACCATGATATTATTACACATGATTAGTTGCATTGATTGTTCCTTATTGTGATTGAGAATCGTTAGGAGTTTATGACTATAGTGACATGAATAAGACCTAGAAGCTTGTGTGTTGTTGACTTAGAAAAATGAAAAGAGTTAGGATGGAGAAGTCTTTGTTCATGTGATCGGATATGGCTATTAATATATCTTCCAGGCTAGCACCAGTGGATCAGTGTCGCCAATAGGGTTGGTTTGTTGGGTCAAAGTAGATCGGTGTCGCTACTTTGGACCGTGAATTTGATATTCACCCAAGTTTAGCTTGAGTCCGGACCAGGCTGAAAATGGATTGCGTGTAGTCCTCTGACCGAGTTTGTGTAGTGGTATTGGATGCACGTAGGGGATTTGTGAATAGTCAGTTATCCGATGATATGAGCGTTGACTCTGTGTGAGATGTGAACAAGTGACGTGTTATAGGATGACTAGTTACATGACCTCGTTTCTTGGCTATGTATGATTTCTTGTGAGATGTAGGCTAGTTGTATTTCTTTTCATACATAGATCGGGGTTAATATTTAATTATCTACAGTTTGAGACATATGGTATATACATGAGAGTTTCCTTGTTTGGATTATTTCGCTCGACGTACTATGTCTCTTGTTGTAAATTTTTAAGTATTAATTACATCTAGTTGTATGACCTTTGTTACTTGGATGATTATTTTGATCGCTTGATGCATGATCGACTTGTTACTTAGTTGATTTTATTGGATTTCCAGTTGTATGTTTCTTTGTCATTTCTGTTGTTGTGTCATTTTTTGCATTGGGTTTTTGTTCATTCTTTTCTTTTGTGGGGTCTTATCGTATGCCATACACGCTGACGTACACCTATTTTCTCTGGTGTACGTCAGACTTAAAGGAAGAACAGGTCCAGATGGGAGATCGCCAGGAGCCAGATGATTCTCAGCAGGAGTGCCTTGCAGATAAAGTTGAAGAATAGGCCTAAGTTTAGTATCTCGTCTTATTTGATGATCCTAGTTGTTTTTGTAGTCTTTTCCCTTCTATTTCTGTTAAACAATGTATTTTATATTTCTTCAGTATTCATTTGTTCAGTTATGTATAAGGGCATGTTTGACCCGAATATTATGTCTTGGATGATATTCACTTGTGATATGGATATTTTGTTCTGAGTTTGTCTATTATATTCTCGCTATTTGTGATCGGGGACCTGTGTCTTTGCATATTTATTTCCAGATGCTTAGCGTATTAGGTTGAGGAGAAATGTTATTTATTCTCTTTAATCTAATACGTTGCGGGCTTGTTCACGTTCCTATTCCCAGGTATTTTGGAAAGCGAGGCGTGACAAAGTTGCCCCATGTTAGTTCTAATCCGCCCCATGTTAGTTCTAACCCGCTCCATGTTAGTTCTAGCTAGTTCTAGCTCTAATTCATCTTAGTTCTAGGCTCTTGGGCTCTCAAGATAGTTCTAACTTGCCCCATGTTAGTTTTAACCCACCTCATATTAGTTCTAACCCGCCACATGTTAGTTCTAGCCTGCTCTATGTTAGTTCTATCTATTTCTAGCTCTAATTCATCTTAGTTCTAGGCTCTTTGGCTCTCATGTTAGTTCTAGCCCGCCTCATGTTAGTTCTAACTTGCCTCATGTTAGTCCATGCACTCTTCCGGTCTGCCGGTGTTGTTGAAGTTGTAGAGCCGGTCGTGGATGTAGTGGTAACGTGTCTTACACATGGTGTGTGCTCCTGTAGTTGTAGTTGATTGGTTTAGTTTGCAAATTGTGTTCATAATTATAATGTACACGTTTGTTTTGGGGTAACAGATTTTTTAGGCTTCCGTGAGTTTGATTGCAACTAGAGTCGCTACTTAAATTCCCTTTACACCTTAAAAAAGATTGCAGTTAATTGCAACCTAAGTCTGAAACCGTACTACAAGCAGCGTAATAGTTCTATGGAAACAAATAACTGCGACTAGCAAACTCAAAATATTCAGATTGCTGATACTGTTGTTACATGGAACCAAACAGAGCGATGACCATCAGAGCGATGGCGACGACTGTGACGCCATCAGAGCGATGGTGACGACTGCGGCGTCGGTATGTGTGAACTAACACGCCACAGTTTAGAACTAACACGCCGCAGGTTAGAACTAACACGCTCAGGGTTAGAACTAACACGCTGCGGGTTAGAACTAACACGCTGCGGGTTAGAACTAACACGCCGCGGGTTAGAACTAATATTCCACGGGTAGTTCAGCACGCGATGGTTTGAGCTGTAGGCTTTTGATTTGGGCGAGGTGATAGCCGCAGAGTGAGTTGGGAAGCTGAGCTCCACCGGCGACGCAGTTACGAAGGCGGCGGCCTGCACTTGCATCAATAACCGAATTCATCCAAAATTTTCAAAATAACAACTTCCAATTAACTCCCCTCATTTCAACACTTTACCAGAATTAGTCCGCTGGCAACTGTTCCTTATCTTCCCCTCCTTCCCCGTAAGCACCCCCAAACTCCTCAGCCTCGCCATCCCCAGCGCAAAGTACCTCTTGAAATCCTCAAACTCGTTCGCAAACTCGTTGGCAATCCTGATCCCGTCCATTGTGGTGATCATCTGCTGTTCGATGCGGAGGATGTCGCGGTTCTTGAGGACGTGGTCGAAGTAGGAGCTCTAGAATGAGTGGTTGCTGCTGCCTGAGGTCGGGTTGAGATAGACGGTCTCGTTAGAGATTCTGGAGCCAGTAGTGTTCGGTGTGCATGTCTTTCTGAGCTCGGCGACGAGGGAGGGGGTACATGCACTAGTCAGGCCTGCCAGTGTTGTTGAAGTTGTAGAGCCAGTCGTGGATGTAGTGACAACTTGTCTTGCTCATGGTGTGTGCTCATGTAGTTGTAGTTGATTGATTTAGTTTGTAAATTGTGTTCATAATTGTACTATACACGTTTATTTTGGGGTAACAGATTTTTTGGCTTTCGTGAGTTTGATTGCAACTAGAGTTGCTACTTAAATTCCCTTTTCACCTTAAAAAAGATTGCAATTAATTGCAACCTAAGTCTGAAACCGTACTACAAGCAGCACAATAGTTTCTACGGAGGGGGAGCGGCGACGATCTACAACAACGAGGACGGGCGGAGGAGGGGAGGGGAGGTGGCGGCGAACTCGAGGGGAGCTTTGGGGGCCTGGGTGGAGGCAGCGACGACGAGGAAGGCGAGGGCCAGAGCGACGAGCTTAAGAAAGCCATTAGTTTTAGAGAGAGGAGAGAGAGAGAGAGAGAGAGAGAGAGAGAGAGAGAGAGAGAGAGAGGATATGAGTGCTGGGTCTGAGGGATTGAGGAGAGAGGATAAGGATAATTTGGGGATTTTAGCTTAGCTGACATGTAATAATTGCTAAAAAAGGGCTGCAGCACAAAGTGTCACACTTCAAGCGGCTGATCCACATAGGGGAAACTATGAGGGGCCTCGTCATATGAAGTTTCTGTTTTTTAGGCCTGAGCACATTTTTCCCTTTTTTTAACCCCAGAGGGAGGAGGGGTTGTTGGGTGATGTACTCGAGCACGTGCAACGCAGCCAATTATCTACCACCTAACTCTAGAATTTTGGGTTAATTTCCATGTCTTTTTATGGTTAATCAGACAGTAGTCGTGACAGATCCGTCATTTTGTCTCAATGGTGTTCCTATATTTAACTTATTATGATTGTATTTGGAATGATATATAAGATAGTGGGTTGGACGAAACCTTACTTTAGGGCCCCAAATTTCTAACCAAACGAGCACATACCAAGCTTAAAAAAAAACAAAAGAGAACAATTCGACGCCAAATACGGTCTCTATCGATGTTTCATTTGGGGAAGAAAAAACGCTCTCTATCGCTTCCTTCTCTCAATCTGCAATCTAGGGTTTCAGCTTCTTCCCTCATTCTCGCCGCACAAATCAATTCAACTGAAAATGGAGCTATCATCGACGATGATCCCATCCCTCTATCGAGCTCTCGTGATTCACTCTCGCGTTCGATGAGGATCCTTTCTCTTCCCAAGTCCTAATAGAATATTCACAAATATTTAACGTGTGCATAAACGAATCGAAGCCGAACTCATTTTAGGGGTGTGCAACGGTCGGTTCGGTTTGGTTTTTACCAAAATTTAAACAACCGAACCGAACCGCCTATAATTCAAAACCGAACCGAACTGTTGCAAGTCGGTTCGGTACGGTTCGGTTCAGTTTGTTCAGTTCTAACTTCATCAAACTTCTTATCAAACAACAAACTGTGTTAAAGAAAAAAAAGTAGGAGATTATGAAGCATTAAACATTAATATAATGATATTGTTTTTAACCCATAATGATTCAGAAAATAAGTTTAGGGTTTGAATCTTTGACTCTTTGGAGACAGGTCGGGTAGGGTTTGAGATCAGAATGGGTAGTATTGCACTATATTCGGTCGGTTCGGGTCGGTTCGGGTTAAAAAGTTTTCAAACCGACCCGAACCGCCCTACTCATAAAATCGATTTTTTCGGGTCGGTTCGGTCGGTTTATTCGGTTTGAACCGAACCATGCTCAGCCCTAACTCGTTTCAGTATCCGAGTCTATTTCGAATACAATTTCGAATATATAGAATTCGAATGCAAATAGTGTAGTATTCGACTTGACTCGATTCCGCGAATATTAACCTGATGCCATTTGGAGCCCCTTGAGATCGTCTAGGATCCAGAATCGAACTCTCACTGCGAACAAACTCGACAATCTCTCTCTCTCTCTCTCTCTCTCTCTCTCTCTCTCATGGCGACGAGCATCAATCAGCACCAGTGCTCTCTCTCTCTCTCTCTCTCTCTCTCTCTCTCTCATGGCGACGAGCATCAATCAGCACCAGTGGCTTCTCGATTCCCACTCCCTCAAGGTTCGTCCAATCTCATTTCGCCTCACTCAAATTCCATAAAGAAAAAACTAATATTTCCTCCAATTGCAGGGCTCAAATTCTCTTATGGCACAGCCGGATTCAGAGCCGAGGCGTCGATGCTGACGTCGACGGTGTTTCGAGCGGGGATCTTGGCGGCGCTCCGATCTCTGAAGACCGGCGCCGTTATCGGCCTCATGATCACGGCATCTCACAACCCCGTTAACGATAACGGCGTCAAGATCGCTGATCCTGATGGAGGGATGCTGACTCAGCAGTGGGAGCCCTTCGCTGATGCCCTTGCCAATGCTCCTGATCCCAAGTGCCTTCTCGATGTCAGTCTCTCTCTCTCTCTCTCTCTCTCTCTCTCTCTCTCTGTCTCTCTTAATGGAAGCTAAAGTTCAAAATTTATTGTTTTCCCCCCTATAATTTGGTTAAGTAGATGAGAAATTGACGGATATCATGCATAGAAGAGATGGGTTCTCTTTATAACTAAAATTGCTTGAGAGTCTTCTGTTATCATTTGTTTATGTTTTAAGAAGGATGTTACTTCTTCGTTAGTTAAAGTTGTTTTATAGAAAAAAAATTCTAAATAAACCCATTCATATTTTTTTTCTAAAAATAGACCCCTTGAGTTTTATTTACAAAAATAGACTCATTTTATCTTAATTCGGTTCCTAAATAGTCGGGGTTGTCAATCCCGACTATTTAGGAGGTTGTAAATCCTCAATTATAACCCTAAACCCTAACATTCTATGCACTAAATAGTCGGGGTTGGCTACCACGACTATTTAGAAACCGGATTAAGACAAAATGGGTCTATTTTTGTAAATAAAACTCAAGTGGGTTTATTTTTAGAAAAAAAATTATGAATGGGTTTGTTTAGAAAATTTCTTCTTGTTTTATATAGGGTTAATTGTGAACTCGCTCCCTATAGTATTTGTTGCGTTTACGCCCCCAGGAACCAAACTCCCTCTGACCCATATTAAATGTGAGATGCCCTCCTTTTATAATACCCAAAATGCCCCTGGATGGGTTGGACACCTTTCTAACTCATTTGCTCTCGTTTTCGCTCTTTGTTCTCTTAGGACTACACCATTGAAACCTGTTTGAGCTCCGTTTGAATGGGGCAGACGAGTGAGATTAGAGAATTAGATCTCAATTTAATGTCTCTCTCGTTCTTTTTCTCTTTTTTTTTCAGTTATACCTTACTCTTCCCATCAATTGGTGAAACCCAAAGGAAGATATCTAGTTTATCATTACAGCAGCCTCTACCATGTTTCTTATTGCTTTCTGGAGAAGAAAATGCAAACAAATGGAGAATCAAGCTTCTTAATGTATTGCAACATAAATGTGAAGAGAAGAACCAGTTATTTAGCTTTCAGTTTAAGTTCTGTTGAAATAAGTCTGTTTAGTTTGTTATTCAGTTGCTGTATTCAGTTGCTGAAATCAAGTAGCAATTAGTTCATTTTATTTTCTGTTATGATGTGAAGGCTATTTAAGAAGCCTGAGTTGTTCAATAAGATAATGAGATTCATTCCCACATTTGTTGAGTTTCTCTCTGTTCAAAGCTTTGATTCTTAACATTGTGGTATCAGAGCCTGCATAGGGGCCTGATTGTGAGAAAGAGAGTGATTGTGAGAAAGAGAGAGTGAGTGAAACACTTCAAGAGAAAAGAGTGGTTGAGAGAAATACTCTGAGAGAAAGAGTGAGATCACGATGGCGACTGAAGGACACAACTTGCTGAGCATTCCCAGATTTGATGGGGACTATGATCACTGGAGCATGCTGATGGAGAATCTGCTGAGATCGAAAGAATACTGGAGCGTAATCGATCCTGGTTATACTGAGCCGGCTGCTGAAATTGTGCTGACTAATGCACAGAGCAAATCCTTGGAGGAGCTCAAGCTGAAAGACTTGAAGGCCAAAAATTATTTTTTCCAGTCAATAGACAAGTCAATCTTGAAGACAATCAGCCACAAGAGCACATCCAAGCAATTATGGGACTCCATGAAGACAAAGTATCAAGGGAATACCAGGGTTAAGAAAGCTCAACTTCAGGCTCTTCGTAGAGAGTTTGAGATTCTGGAGATGAAGAATGGAGAGTCTGTAACGGACTATTTTTCCAGAGTAATGATGGTGGCAAATGATATGCGCAATTATGGAGAAGATATGCAAGATGTCAAGATCGTGGAGAAGATTCTGCGAACTCTCACCGAGAAGTACAACTACATTGTATGCTCCATCGAAGAATCAAATGACATCGATTGTCTTTCTGTGGATGAACTTCAAAGCTCCTTGATTGTTCATGAACAAAAGTTTAGAAGAACCAGCAGTGAAGATCACGTATTGAAAGTTGCAACTGAAGAAAGAAGAGACCGAGGTGAAAGAGGACGAGGTCGAGGTGCTTATAGGGGCAGAGGAAGAGGAAGAGGTAGGCAAATGTACAATAAGGCTACTGTAGAGTGTTATAAGTGTCACAAACTTGGACACTTTCAATTTGAGTGTCCAAGCTGGGATAAAGAAGCCAATTATGCTGAGATGGGAAAAGAAGAAGAAGAAGAGATGCTGCTCATGGCTTATGAAGAAGACAATGGAGCTCGAAGAGAAGATATTTGGTTCTTAGACTCGGGATGCAGCAATCATATGAGCGGTGACAAGAGTTTGTTCTATGATCTTGATGAAAGTTTCAAACACAGAGTGAAGCTGGGCAATAACTCAAGAATGGAAGTGACAGCCAGAGGTAATGTGAGATTGAAAGTAGGAAGCTTTACACATGTTATCAGTGAAGTTTACTATGTGCCTGAATTGAGAAATAATCTGCTGAGTATCGGACAACTACAAGAAAGGGAACTGACTATTCTCATTCAAAATGGAAGGCTCAAGATATATCATCCAGAGAGAGGACTGATTGTTACATCTGACATGACAACAAACCGGATGTTTGTGATGGTTGCAAGCTCTTTGCCTCAAAAGATCATTGATTCAAAACCATCCTGCCTCTACACCTATTCACATGATGAAGCAAATCTGTGGCATTGTCGCTACGGACACTTGAGTTACAAAGGTCTAAGGATGTTGCAGTACAGGAATATGGTAGAAGGTATGCCTCAGTTCAAGTCTCCATCAAGAGTGTGTCAAAGTTGTCTAATTGGGAAGCAACACAGAGATCCAGTTCCACGGAAGAGTAATTGGAGGGCTACAAAAAGGCTTCAACTTATTCATGCTGATATATGTGGTCCAATATCTCCTATTTCTAATAGCAAAAAGAGGTATGTCATTTGTTTCATTGATGATTTTACTAGAAAAGCATGGACTTATTTTTTAGTAGAAAAGTCAGAAGCATTGAGCATGTTTAAGCGCTTTAAGAATTATGTTGAAAAAGAAACAGGAGAGTATATTAAATGCTTGAGAACAGATCGAGGGGGAGAATTCACATCCTTTGAGTTCAATGAGTTCTGCATGGAGCACGGCATCAAAAGACAACTGACTGCAGCCTATACTCCTCAACAGAACGGAGTGGCTGAGCGAAAAAATCGAACAGTGATGAACATGGTTCGATGCATTTTATCTGAAAAGAAGGTTCCCAAGACCTTTTGGCCAGAAGCAGTAAATTGGACATTCTACGTTCTTAATCGATGTCCAACTTTTGCTATGAAGGATCAGACTCCTGAGGAAGCTTGGTGCGGAAGAAAGCCATCAGTGGAACACTTTAGAGTGTTTGGGTGTGTGGCTCATGTACATGTTCCAGATGCAAAAAGAACAAAGTTGGTTGTTGGGCATTAGTGAAGAATCCAAGGCATATCGTCTTTATAACCCCATCACAAAGAAGGTAATAGTGAGCAGGGATGTTGTGTTCGAGGAGGACAAGTCTTGGGATTGGGACAAGAGCTATGAAGAGTTTGTGTTGGCTGATTTGGAATGGAATGATAAAGAAAAAAATGAAGCAGTGAATGAAGGCTATGATGGTACAGCCAGTGAAGAAAATGAAGAGGCTACGGATGAAGTGAGGGAGGAATCAGAAGCAGAAGATCAAAGAGAGTCAACAAGTCCAGAAGAAGAGAGAAATAGAAGAATTAGAAGACCTTCAGTTCGAATGCGAGATTATGATAGTGGAGAGGGACTGTCAGAAGAGGAAGATGTAAGTATGAATTTGCTTTCAGCTTTCTTTTCTGATTCTGACCCAACTCACTTTGAAGAAGCAGTAAAATATGAGAACTGGAGGTTAGCAATGGACTCTGAAATCAAGGCAATAGAGAGAAATGATACTTGGGAGCTCACCAGTTTGCCTACTGGCGCGAAGAAGATAGGGCTGAAATGGGTGTATAAGACTAAGGTTAAGGAGAATGGAAAGCTAGACAAATTCAAAGCTAGATTGGTCGCTAAAGGTTACGTGCAACAACAAGGGATCGATTATACGGAAGTTTTTGCACCAGTTGCAAGGATGGATACTGTAAGGATGATTGTGGCATTGGCAGCTCAAAGAGGATGGAGTCTCTTTCAACTTGATGTTAAATCAGCATTTTTGCATGGAGAGCTGAAGGAAGACGTGTTCGTAGAGCAACCAAGAGGCTATGAATTGAAGAAGTGTCCTCAGAAGGTGTACAAGTTAAAAAAGGCCTTATATGGACTTAAACAAGCTCCACGAGCTTGGTTCAGTCGTATTGAGGCACATTTTGTGAGTCAGGGATTTGAAAAATGCTATAGCGAACAAACTCTGTTCATCAAGACAAAGGTTGAAGGTAAAATTCTCATTGTCAGTTTATATGTTGATGATTTAATATTTACTGGCAATGATGAATTTATGTTTGATGAATTTAAGAGTTCTATGGTTAAAGAATTTGATATGACTGATTTGGGAAGAATGAGATTCTTTCTTGGCATTGAAGTTTTGCAAAGGTCAAATGGAGTCTATTTGTGCCAAAGGAAATATGCTCTGGAAGTTTTAAGGAAGTTCAGAATGGAACATTGCAATTCAGTCCACAATCCGATTATTCCAGGTTGCAAGTTATTCAAAGATGAAAATGGAGTTGAGGTTGATGAGACTCTGTACAAGCAAATGGTAGGGTGCCTTATGTATCTCACAACTACGAGGCCGGATTTGATGCATGTTGTGAGTTTGGTGAGCAGATACATGTCGAGACCAACAGAATTACATATGATGGCGGTCAAGAGAATTATGAGGTATTTGAGAGGAACTTTGGAGCTTGGTGTCTTTTACGAGAAAGGAGGAGATGAAAAACTTGTTGGATATACAGATAGTAATTATGCAGGAGACTTGAATGATCGCAAGAGCACGTCGGGATATGTGTTTATGCTTGGCTCAGGAGCTGTTGCTTGGTCTTCGAAGAAACAACCAATTGTCACATTATCTACTACAGAGGCTGAATTCGTGGCTGCAGCTGGATGTGCAAGTCAGGCTATATGGATGAAGAGAATTTTTGAGAAACTAAGCTTGAAGGAGAGTAAGTGTACGAAGATTTTTTGTGATAATAGTTCTACTATTCAATTGTCAAAGAATCCAGTACTCCATGGTAGAAGTAAGCACATTGATGTGCGATTCCATTTCCTTCGTGATTTAACTCGAGATGGTGCTATTGAGCTGGTATACTGTGGGACTCAAAACCAATTAGCAGATGTGATGACAAAGCCTCTTACCTTGGAAGCTTTCCAGAAGTTTAGAGCTCAGCTTGGTGTTCATCGAGTTCCTGAGTTAAACTAGTTGAGAACTAGTTTTAGGGAGGGAATGAAGAGAAGAACCAGTTATTTAGCTTTCAGTTTAAGTTCTGTTGAAATAAGTCTGTTTAGTTTGTTATTCAGTTGCTGTATTCAGTTGCTGAAATCAAGTAGCAATTAGTTCATTTTATTTTCTGTTATGATGTGAAGGCTATTTAAGAAGCCTGAGTTGTTCAATAAGATAATGAGATTCATTCCCACATTTGTTGAGTTTCTCTCTGTTCAAAGCTTTGATTCTTAACAAAATGCTAGTTGAATTTGTTTATGGCCATTTTATGGTTTTTGTTAGGATTGTGTCTTTGATTCTTTGTATCACTTTATGAGAATTAGATAGAATTAGAGGTCTATAATGATTAGGAGATAATGGATCATCATGATAAGGAGCTTAAATCCTATTCTAATTGGGAAGTCAGGCTAGAGATAGGGTTTTGGTTTCTTTATATATAGTCTTCTATTGTTCTTGGAAAAACTAAGGAGAAAAGTAGAGAGCTGATATTCTTGTAATCTAGGTCAACTGATGGCGTAAACCAGATTCAAGAATAGTGTGCGAGAGGCGAGAGTTTCGTAATTTTTATCCGTGCAAAAGATTACAATATTGGGAGAAGTTTTGTAGTCTTTGTCCATTCAAAAGATTATAAGGAGTGTGTTTTTGTGAGATTATGAAAATTGATTATGTATGTGAGGTTGAGAGATTGAGAGATGAGAATTGAGCGATTCCTCTTGTAGTTCTCCTTGATACATAATGAATTTCTCATATTGTTACCTCGTGAATGTATGTGAAAGTTGGTCGACTAAACCACATAAATCTCTGTGTTCTTCTTCTTGATTGGAGTTACTTTCTATCTTGTTAATTGTGGGTTGACTTATGAGTTGTGGACATTGTAGTAGGGGAGACTTAAAAATCCGCAGTAGCTTTTTAGTTTTATTAGTAGCAAAAGTCATAGAGTCGTCTTTTTCCTTACTGTTGACTTCGGTGAACAATTTTGATGCTGGAGTTTGCATCCTTGAGATGGGTGAGAACAGGTGAGAATGGATGAAATATAAACGACACAAGTTAAATTTTGATTTTTGGGATAAGAGAGGACTTTCACTTGGGGCTAATTTTGTAATTTGGGATGAAGTTTGGTTCCCAAGGGGTGTGCATGCAACAAAAAATACTACAGGGATAGTAAGTGCAACTCAGTGATACTACAAGGGGTGTGTTCGCAATCCCTTTTATATAATACATGTTCGCGCGTAATTAGCAAGGGTGCACTATTGCATAGGCCCTGATGCCAGTAATGCCAGTAAAAGATGCCAATTCCTTTTCTTTCCTTACTGTGTAAACTTTGCTGATTCTTTTTTAAATAGTTTTTTCATTTTGTATTGGCAGGTAGTTCTAAAGTTTATAGAGGAGGAGAATATAACCGTTAGGCGGATTAAATTCTGCAGAGATCTTACTAGGAAGAGACACAAGGCCTAGTGGCCACGCTTTGTCTGAAGCAGCGAAACAGGTGTGCTGTGTCCTCCAAGTAGGTTGTAATTTCTCACCTATTTTTCAGTGAATGGCAGATATTATTCGTTGGAAATTTTTGCAGGGTGTTAGCGCTGTAATTGGGGCAGTTGCATTCGACATGGGGATCTTGACAACCCCACAACTTCATTGGATGGTTAGAAGGAGGAACAAAAGGATGAAAGCATCTGAATCAGATTATTTTGAACAACTTGCTAGATCTTTTAGGTCAGTCCAAAATGACCATTTATACAATTTGATGAAGTATCTGTACATTGTTTGGTTCAAGATGTGAATGGTGGATGCAGGTGCCTTGTAGATCTGGTTCCCAAAGAAATGGCTAAGCTGGTGGATGCAAAACTTGTAGTAGATGGAGCAAATGGTGTTGGTGGAGGAAAACTTGAGGAATTGAAAGGAATGCTAACCGGGTTGGAAATTGAAGTAAGAAATTTAGGTAGGAAAAGAGAAGGTGTTCTTAATGAGAATGTTGGTGCAGATCATGTACAGAAGGAGAAGGTTGTTCCCTACGGGTTTGGTTCTGGTAATGTGGGCATAAGGTGAGGTGTTGTCCTATTTCTTCCTACACTTTGTATGTGTTCTGTGTGCTTCAACCTTTGGTTTGGATTTTGATATAATGCCTATTATATAAACTTGTTTAGTATTTCAGGTGTGCAAGCTTGGATGGTGATGCTGATAGGCTTGTCTATTTTCGACTATTATCGGCAAATAGCAGTAGTGTTGATCTTGTTGATGGTGATAAGATACTATCTCTCTTTGCTATTTTTATCAAGGAACAATTAGATACTATTAGCAGAATGGAAAATGACAAGTTGAGAAACAGATTATCATCAAGTCTGGGCATTGTGCAAACGGCATATGCGAATGGTGCTTCAACACATTATACCTCAAACAGCTAGGCTTGGAAGTTGTATTTACTCCAACTGGTGTGAAATATTTGCACACGAAAGCTTCAGAATATAACATTGGTATCTATTTTGAGGCAAATGGCCACGGGACAATTCTATTTTCAAAAGATTTTATATCTAACCTGGAGGATATGGAGAAAGAGCTTGCTTCTTGTCCAGGTTAACTGAGTTACCTTATATGACAACATATATGTGCCTTCATAGTTCTGGAAAATTAGTGATTGTTATTACTATTTATTTTACATTCTGAGAGTCGTAATGCTGTTTTAAGATTGTTGGCTATTAATCGATTGATCAATCAAGCAGTACTCTTAGTGGCTTGCTTTTGGCAGAGGCAATTTTACAATATTATGGATGGTCCATTAACAGATGGAGTGAGCTTTACCACGACCTACCAAGCAAACAGTTAAAGGTAAAGTCTATCCCCGTGTACATGTTTTCTTTTCTAAAGGATAGCTTACCCAGAATAACAGGTTTCAATTTTATTCACCTACTTTTTCCATTTCTTTACTTCTTGATGTTGACTGATTTTATAACAAACTTAGAATTAAATGAAAGTTATATCCACTTTACCAGATATATGCATATCAATGTTGACTTTGACTTTTTTGTCCAACAACTATCTAGAGATATAGACACAAGATGCTACAAATGATTAGTGCTAAGTATACTTCTATTATTCCCGTTATCTGCTGTAAAAGTTTGGACAATTGGTACTAGTGACCTAATAGATTTTAAATGGTAAAATAATATATTTAATGGAGACACTTGTTGAGAATGTTTACCAGTTGTATAATTCTTAATAAGATTCCTTCTTCCTAATCTAGTCTCCTATTGAACATGCTCCATTGAGGGTCCAACATCAACATGTCACGTATAACCATCCAAAATCTTCCTTGATACTAACCCGATATCGGCCATACTCATGTCTGAACTTGCTCGTTACTGGACACAGATAAAACACGCGTACAGTGTCTCATGCTTGTCGAACACAGATTCATGTCAGAAGTGGTGAGTCGAACACACGTACATGGCCCAAAATGGAGTACCTTGCTTACGGCCAATTGGTGATGATTGATGATGGTTGAAGATGAACAAAAAGGAAATATATTTGTCTTCTCTAGGTTCCGACAGCAGAGCATTGCTTGAAATGCATGTCTTTAGGGCTGACCTTGCATGACTGTTAGCTGAAATTATATAGGAGGTTTTCACTGTTTTGTTTCTACAGGTTGTGACAGTGTATTATTGTTTGAAATGCATGTCTTCTGGACTTGGCATGTGTGCTTGTTGGTTAAAGATACGAGTTTTCGCAATTGTGGCAAGAAGACTGAATATGAAATGGTATACCAGTACAACAAAGAAAATGAGGAATCAGGTAGGGTTGGGGTTACACAAAGTGGCCCAAACTCCTTTGACATTTGACAACTTGCTAACATGTAAATGCTTTTGGTTTGATCACAAGTGACTCAAGAGTTTCTTTGAAACTAAAATGTCTTAAAATTCTTTCTGCTATACCAAAACTCCAAATTTGCCGTGAGAGTTTTAGGGTTATATGTTTATACTGTAACATGCTCGTGGGTTTAGCGCCCTTTTTATGGGTTGGTGCGTAGACTATTTCATGCGGTTGTACCTTCTTTTCTAAATATACCTTTAAATACGTACTGGTGGGTATTAAATCTGGGTTGCTCTTGTACCATTTTAAACGGCCTTCCATGACACCAAAGCTCTGATGGCATGGTCCAGGTTAAGGGTTAGTTTTACACTAACATGATGTGAACTTAACAAGTAAATATTTATGTTTGTTGCTCTTGTGCAAACAAACAACTAAATTTTTATTGTTCTTTTCTCTATAGTTTGCACTCATGGTGCACATGTAATTTTAGTATATGCCTTTTTGTGGCAGTACTTTATTCATCTTTCTTGACTTTAGCCTACATTCTTCTCTCTCAAAACTAATAAAATATCTTTCTTGATACTCTTAGCTCAGCAAATTCCTAATGCTCTGCAATCCTTAGGTAAAAGTTGCAGATAGAAGTGCTGTTGTCACAGCAAATGCGGAAACACAAGTTGTGAAACCATTAGGTTTACAAGAGCTGATATATGCTGAGACTGGTAAGCAGTTATACTACTTTCAAGTGACTCCTCTTATACCTGCGATGCAACTTTGATTTGTTTCTCAGTTTGATTTTCTGTTGAAAAATCCAATCTGATATAATGTTCTTCTCGATCTGTTTTATAAGAAAATATTAATTTACAGAATTACAGTATCCTCCATTATATGTTTACCGAGTGTGTCGTGCTAACACTGCCTAGGTAGCGTGTATATAGTATGTATGCCACAACACAGGACAATCAGAATTCAGGTGAAAGAATATAAGAAATAATTGTAGAAAAATTCTAAATTGCATATGATTTATTAGATATAATAACTTTTTATGAGCGCATATGATTTATGGCTAATGAGATTCAAAACGACATTAAGTAGTATAATTGTAAACAACATTCGACACCCAAGTTAATGATAAACTGACATGAGTAAGAGAAGAAATATAAACAAATGGAAAGCATGAGCACCAGGTTTAAAAGGTACAATTTACAAGCACTAATGACACTTAGTAATCCAAGTATAACCATGCCGATATTGAATTATTAAACGAAGTACATCTGTATTAAGCAATGCTACTAATTAATTATGTTTTTCAAATTTGAATATAACCCTTGTGAATACTCCTCATTTGGTTTTTCCTACAGACCTTTTTATATTAATACCTCATCTCCCTCAAACCTAAAGTTATTTAACTTCCCAAACCATTGAATTTGATTTATGGGCAAGGTTTACTTCACTATGCTTGTGGAACTTTGTTATCCCCCTTTTTTTTATTTTCACTTTCAGTTGACATCATTTGGAATTAAGATGTTTATAATGATAAAAGGTTAAATAAGTGATTTCATCATGTTTCTATTCACATTAATCTGCAATTAACAGTAATGAATTCTGCAATAAGTTATAATGCATTTGAGGGAGTAACATCCAAAACACAAAAAAAAAATTAAGCCAGACTTCCAAAATCTGCTCATCCAATAAGAATAGATTTTTCCAGCTTGAACTATTTGATCAGAAATACTAAGAAAATCAAAACCACCCAAGCTTCAAGGAGATGGATTTCAAATTCATAGTACTGTCTGGTTTTAACCGTCTGGTTTTAGCCTGAAGCAACCCTAAAACACGATGTTTTTGTAGCCATCATCCAAAACCCAACAGTTCCTTTAAAATTACACATGCACACACACAAGCAGAAGCTATGCACAATTTCTTTTTGGGAACTAAGGTAAAACTGCACCATTCTGGTAAGAGATCAGGTCTCTCAGTCTCCAGTCCATTTCTAGCCCTGGCATTTTCAACAAAAACAGTCAAGGGTAGATATTTTTTAGTGCAACCTTAGTAAATTCAGTTTTCAAACCTAACTTTAACCAAAGCAAAAGTTAGAACAGGGATTGTTTGAAATTCAATTTAAGAAAAAGAAAAAAGATGCACTGATTTTGGTCTTTTACCTATTTATATTCAAGTTATGCTATGCTTGTTTACCTTCTATAGTTAAGAATAGTCAAGAAAATTATGCATATGCCCTCATTATCCGAGGAATGTAATGAAAATCCATTAACACCTTTTATTTGAGGTGGGTATACAATGGGAGATTTCTGAGGGGTGGATAAAAACTCTTGCCAGTCGCAAGATACTAAGAAACATAGATACTACTAGCGGGTTAACCAAGTTAGAAAACCAGCTAAACTGCTTATATGCTTCTCAAATATGTAACTGCCAGCTATAGTTATTCAGCGACATATGCTCCAGCCAACTAGCTGCACATGATCTGCATATGGTCATTTTACATGTCTGTTTTATATGACATCCCTTGTTCTGCAGTTTACAAAACTGAAGAATTTGATATGTAATAACATTAAGCCCCACCCTTAACAAACTTGAATAGGTGCTTTGTGTTGGGTTGGCATGTTTTTTTATTTGATTAAATGAGGATCGTGTATGGCATTGTAGAAGAAATGCATAATGAAAATAAACCTTAATTTGTTTTTTTTTTCCAAATTCTAATATTTTTTTTTCCAAATTCTAATATTATGGAAAAGAAAGGGGACTCTCAGGGGCGATGTTTTATTCGTCCATTCTTGTACAAATTCTAATATTTTTTTTCCAAAATCATGTCATAATTGTTCCTGAATGGTTATTTGTATAAGAATATGCTGAACGTCAGGCCTTTGTATGGACTCAAATTTTGGTGGCTCTTTTCTGGCCAGCAATCTATCACTATTTGCCAGAAACTAGGCCTTTTTAATGTGAGGATAGAACTTATACATTTCAGGTAGATGAACGTGTATTACGTAAAAGATTTACATAAAGTTGACGTCCAATTGTAGAACTCTTTTGACGTTTTATTCGCGGCGCTTTTGATTGCATTCTTGTGCTTTATATCCTCAACAGATATTGATGTAGTGAGCAAACGGTTAACTCTACTGGAAAGCGGTCGCTCAAGGGAGTTTTGACCGTTATAAATTAAAATGAAAAAGGCCCTTTGCCTTACTTTGCTTGCTGGCTCTAAGCCCACTCCTTACTACATTTTTTGACTACCCTTTCGCTAGGAATAGATACGTCAATACCTCAAGCAACAGCAATTATTTTGGTCCTTCCCCATTTCAGGTTTCTGGTTGTGTTCAATCCCTTTTATTGAAAGTCATGGTTTTTATACCCTACATGTTAGTCTGGGAGAAAGGGAGAAGTCATGCTCAAGTTTTATATACTCCTTTTTACAACTGGCTAAAATCTCACAAAAGTTTGTAATCTATATAGGATCAAAGCGGTTTTCGTTACATTTATCGTGACTAAACCTATCAATGGTCACATATACCAATACAATCAAATGACATAGATCAATCATTGATGTGTAGCATGAAAATTACATGCAATATGATCTGTACATGTCTATTTTTAATTGGTTCTACCTTAAACTTTAGTGAGGTCAATGCCAAACATAATGTAACAGAGCGTATGAACTGAATACTTTATTCTGATCAGACAATACAACCAAATATAAAACACCAAAAAATTACAAACTCCTACTAAATCATGATATCCTCAAATAATACCACACTCATATGAGCAGTGTGTTCATGAAAGACCTTAGGTGGTAATCCTTTTGTAAGAGGATCAGCTATTATAGAGTTTGTCCCAATATGCTCTATGGATATCTGTCCACGCTGCACCCTTTCTTTCACAACTAGGAACTTAATGTTATTGTGTTTTGACTTAGTCGAGCTCCTGTTATTAGAATACATAATTGCTGATTTATTATCACAAAATAACTTAAGTGGTCTTTCCACATTTTCCGGAATGTGCAATCCCGTGAAAAAATTAGCAGTCTAATATTCCCTGATTAGATGCATCATAGCAAGCTACAAACTTTGTTGCTATAGTGGAGAAAGTTACAAGTGTCTGTTTGACACTTTTTCATGATATAGCTCCTCCTGCTAACATATAAATATAGCATGATATAGACTTTATGCTATCTTGGTATCCAGCAAAATCAGAATCAGAGTACCAGTGACCTCCAACTATTCTAATTTTCTGTATGTGAGCATATAATCTTTTATTTTCTGAAGATACCTCATAACCCTTTTGACTGCTATCCAATGATCCATACCAGGGTTGCTTAAGTATCTGCCTAACATACCTACATTGTATGTAATATCCGGACGCGTATACACCTGAGCATACATTAGACTTTCTACAGCCGAAGCATAAGGAATCTTCTGTATTTCTTGAATTTTAAGGTTACCTTTAGGGTACCGATTGAGACTAAACTTGTCTCCTTTAGTAACATGGAAGTCACCTAGTCTGCAGTCTTGCATGCCAAACCTTTTTAGTACTTTATCGATATAGCTCTTTTATGATAATCCAAGTATACCTCAAGAACGATCTCGATGTATTTGAATTGTTAATATAAAAGAGGCGTCCCCAAGATCTTTCATCTCAAAATTCTTTGAAAGAAATCTCTTGGTTTCGTGCAACATGCCTATATGATTAGTGGCAAACAATATGTCATCAACATACAAAACCAGAAAAATATACTTACTCCTACTGAACTTGTTATATACACAGTCATCAACAATATTCATCTCAAAACCAAACGAGATAATTATTTGTTAAAACTTATGATACCATTGACGAGGAGCTTGCTTGAGTTCATAGATGGATTTTTTTAATTTGCAAATCATATTCTTCGGGTTTCCTGACACAAAGTTTTATGGATGTACTATATAGATCATTTTATCAATGTCTCCATTGAGAAACGCAGTTTTAACATCCATCTGATGTAACTCAAGATCAAAATAAGCAACAAGCATCATTATTGTTCTGAAAGAGTCTTTCGACAAAATCGGAGAGAAAGTCTCTGTATAATCAATACATTCCTTTTGAGTATAGTCTTTTGCAACAAGACGTGCCTTATACCTCTCCACATTATCATTTGTATCATGCTTGGTTTAAATATCCATTTACAACCAATTGGTTTTGCACCTTCTGACAATGGAACAAGTTTTCAAACCTTATTGTCTTGCATAGACTTGTACTCTTCACTCATTGCATCAATCCACTTTTGAGAGTTAGAACTTTCCATGGCCTAAAGGAAGTTGATTGGATCATCTTCCAACATTCTATTATTTTCCTCACGTTCTTGGTTAAATACAATATAATCATCCGGAATAGCATTTCTTCTTTCTCTCGTGGATCTCCTTAATGGCACTGATTCTTGAGGTTGTTGAGTTTGTTCTTCTGGAACAAGGAGTTGTTCAACATTATCTTCTTGAGGTTCCGGATTTACTTCTTGATCAATAACAGGTATAGGAACCTAAATATTGTTAAAAGTAACAGTATGGATTGGATCTGAAACCAATTCATCCTCAAAAGCAATGTTTCTAACATTATTTCTCCCCCCAAACTCAACATCCTAAAAAAAAGTTGATGTTCTCGTCTCAAAAATAGTCATGAGTGTGGAATTATAAAACTTATAGCCCCTAGATCATTCAGAATACCCAATAAAGTAGCTGCTAATTATTTTGGAGTCTAATTTTTTTCATTTGGCCTATAAGGCCTTGCCTCAGCTGAACATCCTCAAATATGTAAATGTTTTAAACTGGACTTTCGACCAGTCCAAAACTCATAAGGTATTTTAGCAACTGCTTTACTTGGTACTCTGTTCAGAATGTAAGCTGTTATCTTTAATGCTTCTCCCCAGAGTAACTCTGGTTAAGAAGGATGAGCAATCATACTTCTTACCATATCCTTAAGAGTCATGTTTCATCTTTCAACTACACCATTCATGCTGGGTAACCCTGACATGCTGTATTGTGGGACGATATCATATTCCTCTAGGTATTTAGCAAATGGTCCTGAATGTTGTTCACCTGAATCATCATATCTGCCATAGTACTCACCACCATGATCAGATCTAACGGTTTTAATCCTTTTGTTGAGTTGATTCCCAACTTCAGCTTTAAAAACTTTGAACATGTACAGTAACTCAGATTTTTCATGAATGAGATATAGGTACCCATAGGCCTGTCCATCCGGGCCGGCCCGGCCCGGCCCGGAAATCCGGGCCCGGGCCGGGCAAAACCGGGACCCGGACCCGGACCCGAGAAAAATAACAAAAACAATAATTTTATTAATTACTTAAAATGACATAAATTACAAATAAGAAATGATAAAAACATATTCTTTATTAATAATTGATAAATCAGTTACAAATTACAAGTACAAATTTATTTTGGAATTAATCGCATCACAATAGATAAGTAAATCCCAACTAGGTTGGCACCTACTCACCTATATCACTATCATTTGCAATTATTTCCAAAATAATTCTTTACAAATTGTAAGCTAAGATATAAAAACTACAATCTATTCTTTATATCTATCTGCTAGTCCCAATTCTTCAAATTTATCTTCAATTCCAGCCATCCGATCGATGCCTTGCGTTCGCTTCTCGTACCTCCACCAATCTTGTAGGCACATCACCGCTTGTACAGTATATGGATCCAAGCATGTCCTGTGATCGTCGATCAAACGACCTGCTGTGCTGAAGGCGGATTCCGAAGCTACCGTCGAAACCTGCACTGTTAGTAAGTCACGAACCATGGTGGAAAGTATAGGATATGAAACTGATCCATATACTTTCCACCATTGCAAAATATCTAAAGCATTTCCTTGACATCTAACTAAAGAAGCAGAAAAATATTCATCTATTTCAGAAACCTCCGATGATGACGATCCAAGTCCAGATCCACCAGTTAGCTCGGCTACCATTGCATACCTATCAAAACTTACACTTTTACCTCGGGCTCGGGATGAGCTCGAAGAAACCGAAGCTGCAGACTGTTGTGCAGCTACACCATGTCTAGCTGCATACTCATCATATAAAGTTTGAAAATAATTTCTAATAAGTAAATGATGAGTAGTAGCATTCAGGGTGGTTCCATCATCTAAGTCTATAACCTGTCCACCATACAATGACTGTAACAAACTTCGAAGGCCAATATCCTTCAAGCATGGATCAATAAGAACCCCCAAACCAAAAATATGAGGAATAGGCCTAAAATACTTATTAAATTTGCTCTCCATTTCAAAAACCATAGGTCCAAAAGTAGCATCCAAACGATATTTATCAAAAATTTTTTGAATATTTAAAATTTGTAAAGCAGCTAAAGTAATGGTTGGATAATAACAGCCAGATAATAACATGGTAGCATCATAAAAAACTTGTAACATTTCATTTAAATTACATATAACTGTCCATTCATCTTCAGTTATTCCATAAGTGCTACCAGAACTAGAACTAGAAGCATAATAGTTTATAAAATCAGTTATAATGTCTTTATATTCTATTGCTACACTTAACATTGCATATGTGGAATTCCACCTATGGTCAACATCTTTTGGAATTAGTCTAGGCTTTACATTTTTTCTTTTACAAAATTGTTTCCATCTTTTAAGTCTTTGTTCAGAAGCACTATGCATGTAAGCAACTGTTCTAACCTTTTCTATCATGGGTTTAATTTCAGTAAATGCACTTTGAACAATTAAATTTAAAATATGACAGATGCACCTAATATGAAAAAGATCACCATGACATGGCAATGATAAAGATGATCTGATAAAATCAACAGCTACATTATTATTACTTGTATTATCTAGTGAAAGAGAAAATATTCTTTCTGAAATTTCTAATTTCATAAGTTCTTCAATTATTAAATTTGCAACATTAGCACCAGTATGTGACTCTTCTATTGCAATAAAAGAAACAACTCTTTTAAACATTTGCCAATTTTCATCAATCCAGTGTGCTGTGATACATAAATATCCAGTTTGTGCTCTAGATGT